CTGAAGATTGACTTAATCGCGTCGCCGCGATTAACGTCAGTTTAATAGCGTCAACGTCGGACGCGCGGTACGTGCAAATTGCGGGCGCAATTTCGCGACGAAGAAACGCATAGTGGTAACGCGATACGTATCTTCTTCTTACGTTTCAACAGTGTAATGCATATCGGATGTCGGGTGTTTTCGAGAGACGCCGTGTTTTCTCGGCCAGTCGCGAGTACATCTAGTTTATTTATATTTTTCATCGCGACTGCGCATGCTGCTGCATCTGCTGCTTAACGTGCTACATTCGGAATAGCATCGTTAAACATACTCGATGCAGCTGGCTGTAGCGAGTGAACGCACGGAAAGATTCGCGGCAGCGGAACAAGGATATATTCTGACTCTTACGCGTTTTCACTTAATTAAATGGGAAACATCGCGATCTGCAGATCGTTATATCATATGATTGAATCGAAATATCGAAGAGAAATTATTGTTCTTTTTTTTCTCAGAACAATTATCTGTCATACTTTGTATCTTGAATTTATTGATGTATTCAATAATACATATGTATTGTTTATTCTTAATAAAAATTTAAAAATAATCTATGTATCTATGTGGATTGCAATAACGCGTATTTAGCTCGAAGTAGCCATCAAATTTAATTGCGTTAATAATTTTTATAAAAATAATCTATGACATATCGATTCCAATAGATGATGTTGAACGTCTAATTTTTTTTAGAAGATTCAAAGTTATCAAATTATTTAATTACTGTCGATATATACGATATAATTATATCAATTATGTGAAACAATATCAATTACAAATTTCTCTTGAGAATTTTTAATATTTTGTGTTTTAAATATATAATACAATGTAATTTTTATGAAATTATAAAATATTAAATTCTTTTATCAAATTCTTATGAAATTTTAAAAATTATAAAATAATCTATGACATATTGATTCCAATAACGTGCATTTGACACGAAGTAGATGTCAAATTTAATAATTAATAGATGACGTTCAATAAACATCTATTTCCCAGAAAATTTAAAATTATTAAAATTATTTAATTATTAGTTGTGATAATTGATATAATCATCAATTATATGAAACAGTGTCAAATAATAATTAAGTTCTACCGAGGGAAACCTTCATTCAGAAAAAGTGCGATTGGTATCAAGAACATACTATGTATGGTTTCTAAATCGCGAGCTTGAAGTAATGCGATTCCGCGGTTATTGCACTCGCGGTCGCGGCTCTTCTTAGTATTCTCTGTCTGGAGAATTAAATCTCGTTTAGAAAAAAAATATATTTCGAATTTATCTTCAACAAATAATATAATATAATAAATATCCCTAATAAATAATATACAGAAGAAATAATTACGAGAAAAACGATTCGAAACGCAGATTTTCCAAGCGATAATTTCCGATTCGCGTCGGGGAATCTATAATCGAGGGAAAGTGACGTCGAGTAGCTTCGCGCGCGGGAACAACTCGATACATATGTGGTATGTATTGTTAATGAGGCCGTCGCGTCGCAAACGTTTCACGGCTATTGCGCCCTTCCAAGTTGCCGCCAGGAAGAAAAAAGGCCGAGATCGTCGAGAGAACGCGAGAGGAGAGGCATTCTCGAGAACGTCGTAGAATCGACTGGCCAATCGCCGGTTGAGTCGAGCTCACGCCATGCACGACGTCGGCGCCGTCGTGCGAATCCATTCTCCTTTCGGATGCTGAGCCAACATATTCGATCCATTGACGCGACGACGGGATTGCGTTTTCCCGACGCGTCTGCAAAAAAACCGATAGAGTAATTAATGCGAGAGACTCTGTCTTTTTTTCGAATCGGATCGATCGAGCGTTTAAAATGAAATCTTTCCCACCCTCGCGTGGATGAAGAGGAACATCCATGGGGATAAGTTCGGCACATTTTTGTTTTCTGCTTCTGATTGATTGCAATTGCAAAAAGAATAAAAGACGATAAAATACATATTTCTTTAATTTAATTTCTTTAAATTTTTTGAAAAATTACATCATTGACATGTCTCGATCGATTATTTATTTAGAGCGGTATTATTGGATTAAGCAGCAGATAAATAAGTAGAGAGATTAGGAAAATAAATAATGATTATGAAAATAAATAAAAAGACTAATCCAAGATTAGCCTTCTTGCGGTACTTTAATCCAATGCGTCTGGCTTTTTCACACCTGTGTTTCTTCTGATTGGAAACTCGTTTCTACCTGTATTTTCTAGAAAATTTTCTAGAAGAATAAATATATGTGAAATATGTGATGTAATAATATGAATATATATATGTATGAAAAAATATTATTAATTATAAAATATTAATATAAGATTTAATATATTATTATTTAATATATTATTAATTTGATATATTATTATAATTATTAATTTATTATTATAAGATATTAATAATTACTAATATATTATAATAATATATTAATAATTATTAATATAAATATTAATATAATATATTAATAATTATTAATATATTATAAGTTATTAATAATTATAAAATATAATTATAAAATAGAGTACAATTTTTTTTTAGATACATCATACTTGATAGAATCAAAATGTATCACATGTCGCGCATTCGTTAGATTCGGATTTCATTTAAATTTTATATCACATCGCACTTGGACACTTTATTATCAATGTTTTAATGACACATACGATCCGAAAGAGGTGATGAAAAGGGAAACGCAGTCGTAAAAGTTATTTATAACAGCGACGAACGCGTAACTTTTTACGATTGGCGGCGACCCGACGATCATAATCAAGAAATGCGCATGGATTAAAGAAAACCAATGAAGTGTAGAAAAAACAATGTACACACGCGCGAATATGTATATCGATTATTTTTCGTACAGTTGCGTGTGCGGTTACTCGACTATTGTGTCGTTGCACGAAAGGCAACCACAATGTTAATTAAAAATCGCGGTAAAGCTTTGAATTAAAAGTGCACGAGCAAACTACAGTTATTTTTTACTTTAATTATAATAATTACTTTCCATAATTATCTTAGTTTATCATTATTTCACAATTATAATCTATCTCACATATTGCGTAGCTCTCTTTAAGAAGCCAGTAGAGAGTTAGATTAGCATCACTAATGACATGATACGGCGTGCGTTTGAAATAAATATCGTCCTTCTCTCGATATCTACGGCAATGATTATTAAGTTGTCTCCGTTTATCGATCTAACCTGATATTACAGACCTCATAAATTTATAGCAACAATGTTCCCTCGGTATTTCAGCTCAAGCGTTCGCTTTCCGATTGGAATGCGATTGAAAAGGATACGTAACGCGAGGAATTCGTGCATGTAATCCATCCTTCGATAGATATATCATCCTTCTACTCGTTGCTCTTCGATTGCTGATAATCCAGCGAATATAACGATTCCCGTAAAGTTACAAATCATGTCGTGATAAGACGCGTTTACGCGCGCAATCTTTGCGCTGATTAATAGGCCTGTGAATCATTTGGAAGGATTAAGCTTTATCACCAGAGAATGCTTTCTATAACCATAAATATTGCCATTCAGATATTGCGGCAAAAATAACGTATAAAATGTTTAAACAGGAAAAAAGATAATTGACTCATTGTGTGTCAGAATATATTTTGAAACGATTTAATACTTATTGTTAGAATATACGTACAAGGTGCAAAGCACAAAGAAAGTGTTCTGTCTATATTTTTCACATTAGAGAGAATAAAACGAAAGATTGAATGAAACAATTCTTTTTATTAATTTATATTTGTATTAAATTTAATTCCAATATATTTAATTTATATTAAATTAATATTTACTTTTTTATGGATATCTTGATTACTCCGTATTAATAAATTTTTATTGATGATAATTGCATTTTAAATATAAATTATAATTCTTTAAATATAAATTATATTTAATAATTAATAAGCAACGCAAAAAATACGTAATGTTTGTTAGTTACTACGTATCTAAATATAAAAATTAATCGCCGTTGTTAAGAAAATTGGCTTTATATCTGTTGAATAATGGCTAGAATATTGCCTACATCATGAGTATATCGCGACCGACAATTTCTACAAATCGTTCAGCCCCCGCACAAGTAAGATGATAGCAGTACAAAGCCCTTGTACGCGCCGAATGTCGTTTTTATTCGAAAAAATATTAGTATCAAATTTTTATTTCTCGATATTTGATTCCCGTTATCGAGCACGCGCGAATATTTTCTTGCTCTTGATATTGAGAGGAGAATAAATGTGATTGGCCGATATCGCGAAGCTGAGGCAAGCAGAGTATTAAGTTTGCTATCGAATGTTTATATGCCATAGACGCTATTTTTAACACATCCTATATATCTACGAGAATCGCGTTTTATGGAATTATCTGTATACGTGTGTCCATAGTTTTGTACTTCATATCGCGCATTAAATCGATGACCCAGTTCGAAAGAGGACCAACTACGAATTTTCCATTCCAGGAGGAAGAAGGGAAGGGGGGAAATCCGCTTGAGAGAAATTTAAATTTTTCTGGGATTAAAGGATTAAAAGAGAATTTCCGAATGTTGCTCGCATCGCAGAGAATCCTTTGCTTCTCTTTTTGACAGCATCAATTTACACCTTGCCTCATCGTCGCGCAAACATTGTTGTTTATCGCAGGTCGCCGAGTATTTGCGCACCATATCGGTATTATACTGCGATATACACTCACACACGCATACACACACATTGTGTACGGTTGGCGGAGCGCCAAAGGTCATCCTTGAACATTCACTTTTCCTCGCGACGCGATTGTCATTCATAGAGATATGCGCGATCGATTCTTGGTCGCTCTTCTTCTCTGCCTCCTATTAATCTCCTCTCCCTCTGATATTACAAAATGATTAATCTGTAATCTATCTTCCTTGCTGTGGGAGATGATAATGGCGAAACGGAACGAAATATCCTCCGTCTATCGTTACGAAGATTAATACGACGTATTTCCGTTTGCTTCGCAGGAGGGCGAACTTTTAGAAAAGAACACGGATTGGATCTACGAGTGGAGCTCCCGACCGGACCAGGTGCCGCCAAAGTACGAGATTGACAGTTAATTTAAAAATCTTGATGTAGAAATTTATTTATTATTATATTTTTTATACTTTTATTAGGATATTTTTTATATTTTTCATTTTATTAATTATTACTACGTTTAAAATTACTATTGATTTCTAGCAAATTTATCAATTTGCTTCTACACTGAGTCTATAATTAATATAAATTGAAGAAAATATTAAAAATTAGAGTAGGATGATAATTTTTTAGTTTGTCTGCTCTAAAAGATTTATTGTATATTTGTAAATAAAATTTTGCCATGCGCAAACAGTCGCCTCAATAATATGCCTTATCGTTTTACAGAGACTGGAAATTTAAACATCCCCTGGGCACTAAGAGGAAAACATATAGTATTCGCACAGCAAAGGTGGGAAAGAACGGATTGTTTTCCAAGGAGGTCATTTACACTCTGTTCTTCACGAATCTTTTGTCTCTGCTCATCGGAACCGGTCTAGGGTAAAATTATTTGTAACATGCTTGAATGTAATGTTAATTGCCATGCTGTTATTGCTTTGAATGCTAATTAAGTTCGCTGAATTTGTTGTAGCGTTCTGCTCACTAGGCGGGGCTTGATGATGTCCCGTGTCGCCATTGAGTGAAGAATATGATTCCCGGGGTGTGTCAGCATCAGGATTTGGTCACGGTTGAATCTGGCACGCAGAGGAAGGCTAGAGATGCAAGAAAGACTGAATAAGCCGGTGGGCGATCGAGCCTAAAAACAGTTACACGCAGCACATAATTCGATTGTCCCGATTTATAATATTAGCACTTTGTATTATATATTAGCACTTTTACTTCCCCAATCCCTTTTAATTGTACGGTGTACTTCTCAAAAAATTGCGTATATCAAGTATAAGTAATGCGCATTATATGCTTAGGGAAAGGAAAGGTTGAGAAAAGTAGGCAAAAAAAAATGAAGAAAAGAAACTATCGTATATAGTTGTTGAAAGAAACAGAAAAATGAACGAAACGAATGTCCATTTTATACCGTTTCTAATGCGTTTCTATCCGCGATAGTTTATAGGCATAGCTTGAATAGTATTTATCTGAAACTAATTATTGTTAGAACGGAAAGAGAAAGAAGAGAGACTGAGGAAGAAAGAGTAAAAGAGAAAGGGAAAACGAAAGAGAGAGAATGTGTGAGTATATGTGTGTGCATGCGCGGGCGCGCATGCGTGTGTTTGTGCGCGGAGGAAATGCGTCGAGAGAAGATCATGATTTACCAGTACGGAAAGGATCAAGATATATATCGATGAGAAAACGCTGGACGACTCGTCTAACTTATGTAAGTTACAGACCTCGTTGCATCGCGAACGAGTAAATTTTGGGATGTTGAGTTACGAGAATGAAAAGGAATATATATTATGTGTTTAAGTAAATTTGAACACGCTCGAAATTATAATAAGCGATACATATATGTACATGTATATGTATGCGTGTATATATATATATATATATATATATATATATATATATATATATCAATTATTCTTTTTTTTTAATTATCATGCTTTAATGGCAATAGCTACTATGGAGAGGAAGAATCAATGTTGACGTTTACATCGTCTAGATGCCGATTACAGATGGAAGGAGGGACCATGAGAGAAAGCACAAGCTCTATTTGAACGACGAGAGTTTCAGAATGGCTTTTTTGTACATTTTAATCTGCAGTTTTGTAATTTTCTTGTAATAAATTCACACAGAAATTCACATATATACACAATATGTATTTTGTCGTTTAGTACGATCGGCCCAGCCATGATGTGACAATCAAATATGTTTCAAATGGTTTTAATACAGGTGAGACATTGAAAAGACGAATGGAGTTTAAGAATATGGAATCTTTTGCAGAATTTGCAAGAATCGATTCTAACAATTGTGAAAATAAGTTTAGGTCTGTTTCTTCATATTTTTAAGATAGATAAGGTTATTATAATGCATATTGAGTTCTTCGATTCAGAATTGAGGAATTTTGTCACCGATAAAAATATATAATTTTTACTTATTAATTAAATAATCCTATAAAAAAGAGTTAAAAGAATAATTTTTAATGTGAGTGTTTTGAAAAAGCTAGAATTTGTATGGAAACAAATGCAAATGTGTGATATATATATATGCTACGTTTTTCAGTAAGAAAATTTGCTACGATGTGATGTTTTCGAGATCACAATTTTGTACTTTAGACGAGGGAAAGGACAGAACCAGATAGTAATCACTAGCTTATCGAAAATATGCACAAATGAATTTCGCGGAATAATCCTTTTGAGTTTTAATTAGAAGTGAATATCGATTGAATGTGACGTATTGGAAAAAAAATACATCACTTGTATTAGTAATTTAGATAAGTCACAATTAGGCAAAACTAAATACATGTTAGAAATTGTGCGTAAATTTTTTATTTGCAAAATTAACAACGTAATCGTTATGCGAATTGACAAATTTTCTTTCATAGTCTTAGATAAGTTGCGCGTTATTTAATTTACAATTATGATATTCAACGTACTTTTTATAAGCAATTATTTTGTAATATTGTATGTATGTTGTGTGTCATACGCATAATAATAATCATATTTCGTATGTCATAATTGGCGTTGGTGACTTTAGCGTTTTGTCGGATTCTCTTTCCATCGATATTTTTTCGATATTTTATTTCTCTTTGCTAAAGTTAAAAATAAAGTAAACTTTTAATTTTATGAATGATTTATATATAAGAGTGCTACACACACACATACACATGCACACATATATATACACACACACACACACACAAAGAATAAAGAATTTTATAAATTCATACTTATGACGAAGTATTCAATTTTCATAGATTATTTACACGTAGATTATTTTTCTAAAACTGTCCTCATCTCTCTGTTCTGTTTTGTATGTAATCTCGTTTAATTGATAAAAATCAAATTGAAAATGACAAAATGAACTCTAGACAATTTCAGCGCTATAAATAGTATACAAACTAAAGCTGGGATTAACCTTTTCTTTTCATAATTACGCGATATATTAAAATAATATATCACTAAAAATGTGCGAAACAAATTTTTTTCTGTCGGATGATGAGTCGATTGAGAAGCATGAAATAAATATAAAAGTTTTCGTACGAATTCTACCGCTTGAGAGACCATGCGATTCTTGCGCAAAGATTAGTGCGGATAATAAGGTAAGGTTGATGTAAATCTCTTTACCGTTAAATTGAGATATATTATGAGCTTTTCTTCGAATATTTATTTCTAAGCAAAGAAGAAAAAAGAATTCTACCAGCATCATAAAATTTATACATAATATTGTGCATTTTTCGAGATTCACAAGTCAGACACTTATCAGATTTTTGTTATTAGTGAAAACGCATATCGATACGTTTTGTTAATTAATCTTTTAAAATATCGTTATTTAGACAATATACGTAAGATGTTTACAAGATATACGACGAAAGCGACTATCAACGATTCCATATCCCGTTTATTGGGCCTTTCGGACTGATGGAATATTTCATGAAACGTCTCAAGATAAAGTGTATCGCGCTACCACAAAAGATCTCGTAGAAAAGTATCAATTGATATTTGAAGTCAATTATAGCGATATTCCGTATTATGTTGATGATATAATTAATATTGTTCAATATATTAGTAACAAAATATATTAAATTTAAACGTTAAATTTAATATTATTAGATTCATATATAAATGATTTTTTAATTAATTACAGTTGAAAAGATTTCTCTATTTTTTTTATTGAGACATTTTTCTATCATTTTTGTTCACACACACATCAAATTTAATTAAACTTTCACTATACATATAACTTTTGCTCTTAAAATAATGTACATTATACTAAATATAACGTGTGCAAATAGAAATAATTAATTATATTGTTATTTATAATATATTACTAATTTTTATATATATATATATTTAACACATTATTAAATTATAAAATAATTATATAATAATTAAAACACAACATTATTAAATTATAAAGTAATTTAATAATGTTATATATTAATTTATTATTAATAATGTTACAAATAGAGTAATATCTGCATATGGATTAATAAAAAATGATAAATTTTATTATGTTGATATCAATAAAATTGATAAAAAAAATCTTTTGAGATAAAAAAATTTCTTCGATTATAATTAATTACAAATTTTATATCAAGAATTAGTGTGATTTTGTATTTTCAAAAATTAAATTTACAGAAATATATAATTATATTTAATAAAATAATAGAATAAAAAAATATCTGATAAATATCAGTGACAAAATACGGAATGCTGTACAGTTTCTATACAAATAAATAAAATTCATATAATATATACAATATAGAAATAATTTAAGAGTTTTAGATGGTATAAATTGTGTACTGATCGCCTATGGGCAAACCGGGTCTGGAAAGAGTTTCACAGTTGGGGGTTTTAGAAATAACTGGGAAGTACGTTTTTTTTTTTGGAATATTACATAATATTAAAGCTTCTGATAAATTGATGATTCTAATCATTTCACTTTTAGCATAGAGGAATAATCCCGCGATTCTTATCCGATATTTTCGCGGAGAAGACGAATCGAAGAAAGATTAATGACATACACTATCGTTTGAGTTTTGTCGAATTGAAGGGTAAAGACGTAATCGATCTCCTCACAACGCGAAAACGCAAGATTGTCAACATAAACAATCACAATGCCTTCAAGGTATTATCAATTATCAAAATTTCAAAATTTCTGATGATTGCAAAAAAAGAAATTACATGAAGATAATTATATAGATGTGATACTTTTATAATTTTCTGAAATTTTTATATTTTTATTATATTATCTAGATATTATTAGATATATATTTAATTTTGACAATATCTAACATACGTAAAAAATAGATTTAAGAATATTACAATACGACAAAAAGTGCAAGTAATGATGCAGATAAAATAAAAACCGATATATAATTTTAGAATATAACTATAGTGAATGTAGAGAATGAAGATGAGACTTTAAGAAAGATACTCGAAGGAGAAGCTAGGAGATCGATTGTGAAGAATACAATGTATCCAGTATCACATTTAGGTGCAGTCGTGATCACTTTTCACGTATCAAATGCGAGTCTGATAAAATCACAAGCCTTCGTAGCAACATCCAAAGTAATTTCAGTTTAAATTTCTCATCTTTGAAAGATAAATGAAAATTTTCTAATACTGTTTTTAAAAGATAATTTTTTAAATTTTTAGAAAAAAAAAGAATTTTATAGAAATATTAAAATATATAAAAAAATGATATCTTTAATAAATTCATCGTATAAATATAATTAAAATTAGAAAAAATTTAAATATATATGTTTAACTATTTTAAATAAAATCAATAATGTGATCAAATTTTTAAAGGAATTGTGGAAGAATATTTTGGAAAATTTATTTTTATGGCTCGATATTAGATACATATAGTAGAGATGGCTGGCACTGGTACGGCAGGAAGCCCATCGAATTGTTGGAAAACAGCAACCGATTTGGGTATGGCAAATTTGATGAGGATGCAGGTGGAACAATATTTTGTGTACCTCAGAAAACAAAGTGCGTGCATGTATGCTATAATTCGCTCGAATAATTTGCTGAAACTATTGAAAGATGCATTCGGCATCACATCCGTCATTCGGTAATCATAAAGAATAAATATTTGAAAAGGCGCAAATTAATCCAGATAGAATTTAATTAGCTTGATGATTAATTTAAAATATTAAATTCAACATTTTTCTCAATCAAATATTTAGAATTTAATCCTTAAAATTTTATGTAACATATTGAGTGACATACGACGTATTAATTAATTAAAAACTAGACATCTCATTCGTCAGCTTTGTATCTCATGTGCGCATCGCAAGCGAAGATCTCGATGTTACTCTATCGACCATGCGATTAAGCGGTAAAATTGCCAAACTGAAACCGATCAAAACGATACGACACATTCAGTCGCGAACGGAGTTGATCGTGCAACAGCTGCGAGAAGAAGTAAATGAATTGAAAAAGGAATTGGAATTAAATAATATGTTTTTACATCAAGAAGCATTGTCGAACATCTCGAAATTGAGGAGCGAACAGATTAATCGAGACATTATGAATTTTTTGGAAGGTTCCATTTCGGAATTAACGCTCTTTAATGTCACTCAAGCACGCTTGTTGATAAAGGTCGCCAAACAATTATTTGACAAGTTCGTTTTTTGTAATTTTTTACAAATCATTTTTTAAATTTAAATCGATCTCTTATCGATTTATCTTATTTGATTAAAGTTTTTATTTAATAATTAAAAATCAACGAAAAATTGCAAACTCTTTAACTCTCCTGTATAACTTTAATTTCTAATATAAATCTTCTAATATAATCTTATTATTGCATTTATCATAATTAAAGATCAATATAAGAACAGGTCAATACAGGGTGTCCCATTTTAATGCCCCACCCCAAATAACTTTCTTATTTTTAATTTTAGAAAAAGATGTTTCAGACAAAAGTTGTATGGTTTCGAGGGGGACATAAGATGGTACCATTAATTTGATCTTGAAGAGTCACATGAAGGTTACGTGAAGATCATTTTCAATTTCTTAAATGGAACACCCTATATATTTTTGCATATTCTTGTAGCTTATCTCGAGAGCTTTCCAAAACACTATAAATAAACATTTTTTCATCAAGTACGTTTCGAGTAATGAGGCTTGAAATCATTTCTTAATTTTACATAAACCATAAAATATCTTGTAAAATATTCATTTTTTGATTATCTTACCTTAATACTTTTATGTACAAAATAATGAGAGAAATCAATTGGTGTAAAGAAAACATACAGTTGTTTTTAAGAAAAAATATGGAATTGTTAATTGCAAATTACATATTTTTTTCTTAAAAACAACTGTATGTTTTCTTTGCACCAATGGATTTCTCTCATTATTTTGTACATAAAAGTATTAAGGTAAGATAATCAAAAAATGAATATTTTACAAGATATTTTATGGTTTATGTAAAATTAAGAAATGATTTCAAGCCTCATTACTCGAAACGTACTTGATGAAAAAATGTTTATTTATAGTGTTTTGGAAAGCTCTCGAGATAAGCTACAAGAATATGCAAAAATATATAGGGTGTTCCATTTAAGAAATTGAAAATGATCTTCACGTAACCTTCATGTGACTCTTCAAGATCAAATTAATGGTACCATCTTATGTCCCCCTCGAAACCATACAACTTTTGTCTGAAACATCTTTTTCTAAAATTAAAAATAAGAAAGTTATTTAGGGTGGGGCATTAAAATGGGACACCCTGTATAATGATCGTGAATGATTAAAATTTTAATTATTTTTTAAATATTCCAGATTAATTGTGAAAGATATTGAAATGGAGCAATTAAAGAAAGCGTACAAAAATATGACGAATGCATTAACGGAAGTAAACAATACTATAGTCGCATAATTATTAATAGTATTTTAATAATTATGCTACAATATATATATATATATATATATTTATTTATTTATTTATTTATTTATTCATATATGTTATTTGACTACACCGTTTGATAAGCTTAAAGGCAAGAAAATAAAGATTAAACTTGTAAAGCGTGCATTTCATATACGAAATTCGAAGAAAAGGAGAAGTAAAATCTGCTTTCTTAATAGTTCTTTATTACTATTTGAGAACAAATAAATACAATTTAAAAATATAGTTAAATCCGTGTGGATTTAGGAGCATATTTTGCCGTTCTTTTGTCATGATTTTCATGACTCTTTTATCATGATTTCTGCTGAAAATAAGTATACATTCGGAAGTATCGTATTTTATTGATGACTATCATTTCATTTTCTCTTAGAAATTTCTTTAAATTCTAAAATGTCCATAGAAAATAGAGAGTAAAGGCATGGTTTATTATTGGCATATTGCGGCAAATTTGCTTGGGCAATTGCGCGAAATTAATTTCTGTCTGCAAAGGTTTGTACATTTACATCATGAAATTATGTCTCTATTATCTCTATTGTATTAAATATATCTTGTTTAAATTCAGTTTATAGACGATTTATTCGTAATAGAATTTGTATAACAATATTCTATGACATAGACACTAGTATTAGTTCATACATAGAATATATGTATGAACTAATACTAATTGCTATTGCTTTTTATATATGCTTTTGTTTGTTATTGTTTATATATTCATACAAAATATTATAAATTATCAAAATCTATAAAAATAGAACGTATTTCTTTTTACAAGTAAAAACACAGTTATACGTATCGTATTACTTATATTTAAAAAAAAATAACTATATAATTTACGATTGTTAGAATTTCAAAGTTTTATCCAAGTAAATTTACATAGGAAAATGATTTTTTATTTTAATAATGAATTGTATATACAGGATATTGTACACATCTTTCTCTTATTGAAATAGATCTTTTAGTAGTAAAAAATGTTATGAAACAACAGAAATTTTCATTAAATTAAAGATTGAAAAATTTTCGAGTACGAAATGTATTATTTTCAACATATTTTGTATAAATAAAAGACATTGGATATTTCTCTTATAATAATATATGTGTTATCTTTTCTGTTCAAGTATATTTAAAATACTAAAAATGGAACAGCTTTAAAGCAATAAAATTGTAGAAAATATCTAAGATTTCATGTAAATATATCGTTATGAATAGAAATATAACAAATAATAGCATTGTAAATTTTGAAAACGTTTGCAAAGATATTTGTGGCAATTTCTTATTTATTTATATTAGATATCAGAGTCAGATATAAATAGTGAAGATTTCTTAAGCGAAAGTAAGATGTATTTAGATTAAACAAATAGTCAAATGATATTAATTAGAGATGCTTTACTATCTTTAAAATTATGCTGGAGATTTTATTCATGATAAGATACTATATAATAAACTCTAAAATTTTGCCTCCTAAAAGATAGGAAAGAATAAAAAAATTAATATATTATTACTCGATAAAATTATTTTCTAAATTTTAATATTTTCTAATTCTTTTTATTTTTGAGGAATATTTGTGAAATATGTTGAATTTTTCCTATTTTAAAATACATTTAAATTTTGATGTCACAATTATAGTCAATTTGTGATGTTGCTTTGCGAGTAAATAAGTATGGCTTAAATGTAAATATTTTGAATCAATTCGATACATACAAAAAGATTATTTCGTCATTATTGTTTTCAAAAGATTATTTCGTCGTTATTGTTTTCACATTTCATCGTTTCATTCCTGATTTATAATCTTGCAGATTATCCTCGTGATTTCGTTAGTGATTATTTTTACATTTATTTAACTTCATAACACAAAAACACATTTGCAACTATGGTTTTTGCCTTATGCAAGAAATACGACACGGAAAGCGCGATTGAACAATCGAAACACGTTCTATCTAATCTACAATGGTTTGTGATATTATTTGATTTTATTATTCATGTTGAAAAGAATTTCATTGTTTAGTTTTGAATAAATCTCGCGTAAATCTATCTTAAATGATTCATAATTCACATTTATGAAAATACTTTATGAAGAACATTATATTCAAATTTATTTATATGAAATAATCGTATTTATATGAAAGATCCGTAAATGATAATACATATAAAAAAACAAGCAATAAATTTGAATCATTTTATATAGATATTGTGAAAATATGTATTTCTATTTTATTAACATTATTTTTCTTATAGAATCAAAATATCGATTATTAAAGAAATTTTATGTAATGATTGTGATTCCTAAATTTCTAAAGTTAGAAATCTATTGTAATTTCTAAATTTCCAAATTTGTTTAAATTTTGTTAAAGAATTTGTGATGGTGTGTCTATTGGTACATTTTGTACAAGTTGAAAATTATTGAACGTTTTATTTTATATTGTAATGTGCGTTATATTAATCATTGTTTTATTCAAGCATATTGAATCGCTTATATGGAGAACAGGCCCAAAGTGATAGAGTTGTACAAGCTAGAAAACGTCGCGTAAGTATTGTGAAATGCAAATAATGATATAACAAATAGAAGCATAAATAACTAATAACGTTTGTAAAAATAAATATATTGTAATAATATTTGCGATAAAATCTCTCTTTTTGTTCATTAGTTACGGAGCAAGCCAGCGAACAGTTTCGAATATTTTTTAAGCAAAAGCATAATGTATTTGAACATGGCAAATAGTTTTTATGAATGGAATAAAAAAAGCCGTGAAATGTTTGGGGCGCTAATGCGAAATATGGATATTTATACTAAGGTGAATAATCAAAATTGAAATCTATTTAGAAACGTTGCTCGAAAGAAGCAACGTTTTTTAGCAAAAAATTATTATAGAAAATTCTGTGAGATTATACAAATTTTTCATGGATTTATATATTTTTAAAAATATAAAAAAACGTATAACTGTATTTCCATGCATTTTTAGTTACAATAATTTTCTAACATTATTTTACATTCATATTAAATCACATAGTAAAAATTAGAAAAGTGTTATAATTAATATAAAGTATTAAAAAATTATAAAGCAATTATAGTGTATTAAAAAAGTATTGTAATTTACTTAAAAGAATTTTTATACTTTGAAAAGAATTATTATACACAAATATATATAGTAGTCCACTTAACTCTATTTATATGTTTTATATATTAAATATATATTTGTGTGTTTATATTAATATATATATATATATATATATATATATATATATAATTAATATATATTTAATAATTCTTTTTTGTTTATATTAATATGTAATTATTATACAATTCCTAAAAATTATAATTTATTAATTGCAATACTTTTTATTTGATGCTCTGAAATTTTTATCTTGTTTCACAAATTCTTTATAATAATGCAATATCAAATGTTTATATTTCATATGTAGCTGAGAAACCAGTTAAAGGAGAAAATATATAATGTGGACCAACTTGCTGATGGACAAGAAATTTATGATATAAATTTCATCATTGTTACTGAGGAGGATATGATCATCGAAAATGGCATAGTTGAAAATATGGACGTAAGTGAAGTAATGGAGTTTGAAGAATTTGAATTAGAAGAGTTTTACAATTGGGTTAATAAAATATCCGAACGCAAAGAGTTATTGATAGCGATCGAAACTATATTTGACGAGATCCAAGATATATTCTCCAAAAGATGTTTTTCATTATATCAAGTATTAGACAATTATTACCAGAATTTGAAACAATATCTGTATAATAACAAAGACAATTTAAAATCATGCAAATTTTATCGAGAAATAAGTCTGTCGCAATATGTATGTTGCAAATACCATTTTTTAAAGCGATTGCTGAAGCGAGTTGACGAGGTATATACTTTGCTTAATTCATTTATAGTAAGCTCTCAAAAATAAATATTTTTTCCGACATGATGAATGCGGAAACATTTAAATGAAATATCCTAAATGTGAATCTAAACTATTGTCTTTCATTGTGTCAATTTTTCTTAATACACGTATATTTGATTTTATTTTTTTAGGAAAAAGAACATATCGCGAAATATAATGCTGCATACGAAGGAAGATGGAAAGATAATGACAATTTTTTCATTTAATAATTTATACGATATTTTATTTAAAAAATGGAAGAATATATAGATTTAACTTTCTTTTATTTATTGTAAGTTATTGTAAAATATAATGTTCTTTGCAATTCTTCTTTGAACACTGCATATATAATTGTATATATAGTGTATATTTAAAATGCAAAAGAATCTTTCTTACACTTTATTTTGCATGAGATTTGTGTAATAAATATATTTGTAATAAAAATGTAGTAATATGTTGTAAATATGGTTTATTATAATTTATTTAAAATTTTTCAAACTTGATTTTTTCCTGAAATGATTATATTTAAAACAAGCATACTGATAATATAATCGATTATTTTATTCGTTTGTGAATTAATTCTTATTCTGATTAGGCAGAAATAAAAAACGCGATAAACAAATAGAACGTGATAAAGAATTTTTGTTACGATAACTTGAAAATAAATCACTTATGTCTATTATTAACAATTGTAATATTTTCCGCCGTGCAGAAGGAGAATTTATAATTATTTTATCCTCTCTTTTAGTTTTCACATTTTCTTGATAGAATATATATTAAATTATATATATATATTAAAATAAATTATATTAAAATATAAAATGAATTTAATTTGAAAGATTTGGAACCAAGTGTCTTCAGTTTTTCAGAGGTAGATGACAAATACTCAATAAATCTTCTCCCAAATATTAATCCATTAATGTTTATAATTATTAATTCTAGATGGCGCAGTTCCTCGTTGAGAAAATGCAAAGATAATGGTTTCAAGGATTATGTACATTGAACTGTTCAATTATCTGAGATTTTCTTTCTAAGGTATATGTGCTGCGTCACAGTTCGCTTTCGTAGTCCGTATAGATGCGAGTGTCTCTTCGGTGGATAGAGTTCTACGCTCGCTATCATCGCGATGACAGATTCACGAAGCTGGCACGATGATGATAGCGACATAGAATGTCAGCACGAATTAACTAGTGAGGACAAAGAATACGCGGCGGTACATTTGAACGAGACTGATAACAATAGAGAGAACGCAATCACAGAAATAAAGTGTTGGATTCAGGAGAGTAATGATTTGTGCGCACGAACAGGTAAAAATTGCGAAATTCAAATCGTTTAGTATCTAAGTTAAAATTTCTCTCTATATAAATCAATTATAATAAATAATTTGTTAATTTTAGAATATGAAAACGATATTATCTTCGTCATTAAAATGTGACATTAATAACTCATTGTATCCGTTTTTAATCATACAGGAAGTTTTCATCATAAAGGAAGTACATATAAGTGATATTTGATATCTTAAAAAGAAATAAATATTTTGAAAATGTCAGCAAATAATGTATAAATCGTATTCCGTGAAATTTGTATTGCATTTAATCATTCTTTGCATAATAACTTTTTGCATAATTACATTTAATCATTTTTTGCATAACTTTTTTTGTTATCTTTAGTAACTTGAGAAATAATCAGACATTTATGTATTTATGTATATAAGAAAAAAATATATGTATAGATTTTTATATGCGAGTTTCTAAAGCACTATTTTTGTCTGTAACATGAGAGATAGTATTTTAAAAGACTAATTTATTGAGCAAAATCTTAAAATTGTAAAATAAGCAGCACTTAATGCATGATAATCACGTAATCAATTCAATTTTTATATTTGTCATGTATATTATAATATGTATTATATCATCATATTATCGACATATATTAGTTTACTCAGAATCAATATAATTTTTTCAGAAAAATAATTAATATTTTACGACTTTTGCCTATGTAATATATTTATAATTATGAAATTAGCAATTATAATATCGATTTAATTATTGATAAGAGCAGTTTTTTCGATTTAAGATCAAAGTTTATTTAACATACAAAATAGATTTATTAATATTTTTTTAAAGAGTAAATAATGTTTGTTTCTAAAATCTTGTACTGTTTCGATTTGACTTTTTATTCAAAGAGAACCCTTAATTTGTCCGCAGATGACTTTTTTATCTTACGATTTTTGAGAATCTGCAAATTTAACATGGAGAAAACTAAGACTAGGATGCGAAACTATTATAAACAACGATTCGATTTACCAGAATGGTTTGCAAACAGAAATCCATTCCAGCCAGAAATGCAAGAACTGCTTAAACTTGGGTAACATCATAATTATCTCAGAGTATAAAGTATTACAGTGCAAAAGTCCACGGAGACATCTCATAATGAGTCTCGGATGAGATATAGCTAGGCGATTTGAATTTTCAGTCTTGCATTTCTTAACTTAATTAGATCTTTCTTCTACATTATTGTCAAGAAGATAATGCATTTTTAGAGCACTCGAATATGTTCACTCGCTTATTATGGATCTTCACAAATTTCCGGTATTCACAATAATTATTAACATTAATTTATAACTGCGTTGTTATGAAAGACATTAACGTTAATAATAGTTGTGACTCATTGGGTTTAATTATATCAATGGGTTTAATTATATCAATTTATAACGTTTAAGTCATCAATCTCGATTAATAATTTCGCTCTAAATACTCCTAATTGACAAATCATCAAATCATTTTTTTCGAAAATTCATAACAACAACTAATAAAAGTTAATAAATTTGATTTCAATTTTATTTCAAATTTTTTTTTCATATTTTAATTTTATTAATAATTATTTAAATGCTACATTTAATCAATAATTCTCGCTGTGCCCAAGTTGATTTTTCAAAAATATTAAAAGAGCATTTTATTTGCGTAAGATTAGAAAGGTCAACTTGTCAACTTGTTCTAAAGATTAAAAAAAAAAAGATTTTGAAATATATTTTATCTTTTGAAATATTTTATCCATTTAGGATATTTTTATTCTTACGAAAGCCAGACGATCAAGGAAGAATAGTGATTATTATACGTGAAGGACAGAATAATCCGAAAGTGCAAAAATTATCGGACTTAATTAAGGTACGATTATTTTATCATGACATTTGAATCGACTTACGACGGCGAATATCATCGCAATAAATTGAAATCATACTTTCGTGTTTATGTGTTTTTCAATGAATAAATAACTGTTTTCACAGATCGGTATAATGATTATGGACGTGATATCGAAGGACTACGTACCAACATCCTTGTACGGTTCCGCGCTGTTTATCGATTTAGACGGCGTAACCTCGCGTCACTTGATGCAACTACAGCCTCGCGTTGTGATGAACTTAATCCATTCATGGCAGGGTTGCTATCCTTTAAGGATCCAATCGATTAATTTCATCAACGCGCCCAAGTATGCTGATATAGGGATAACGATTTTTAAAACTTTCATGAACGAGAAGCTGAAGCAAAGATTGCACGTCTATACACGCGATGAAACTGTGATGCATAAATGTTTCAAAGATATTCCGATTAATATCCGACCGCTCGAATATGGTGGCACCGATGGTACAATCCAAGAAATAATAGGTAATTATGATAATTATAAGCCAAATGTGAAGTGATTGCGATATGTTAGTGAAGAATAGAGAATATTTATTATTATGCAAAAGATTCTTCGTCTTTTTGCATTTAGAATTGCAGTCCGTAATTCAAATAAGACATCACGTACAACATTTGCGGCTGAGATGACAATTTGATCATTGAATCAGATTTGTATATTTGTACAATTTATCTAAAATACAATTTTTTTGATCTGTATATTTGTACAATTTATCTAAAATTTGATCATTGAATCGGATTTGTATATTTGTACAATTTATCTAAAATACTTTTTTTACGTGCTTGCAGAATATACAAAGAAGTTTGTCGAGAAACATCGTGATTGGTATATTGATGATGAGAAATACAAGTTTATTTCTAATTAGTAATTTGAGATAAATCATGAATTATAATTCTGCGCATTAAAGGGAGAATGGAAATTATGAAAAAGACAAAATATATCAATTAATTGGCGATAAAACGATACAGAGCGAAGAAAAGGAATGTATTGTTATTATGATGCGATGATGAGTAAAATGGGATTGAAATTTTCCCAATTTTGTTTATATAAGTAAAATAAAATATACATTTTTTTGTACATATGTTTTCAAGCTTTTCCTTTGCATTGCATATTTTCGTTGACTATCGGACAATTTTTTTCTTCTTTCATCAACATGAACGCTCGTCGGAGTACGCAATTTTTTTTTGATAATGAACAAAGACCTACATAAAAATAGTACTTTACAAGCAAAAAAAATCGAAGACTATTATGATTTACTATACATACAAGTGTCTTCGATATTAAAATTTTTTATACATTGCAAAAAAAATATATATGTATAGAATAAATCCCTCAGCGATAATTGTTTCTGTTATCACACAAATTATATAATTATTATGTACCTTATAATTAGCTTGTATGCTACATAATTTTATTCAAATTTTATGTTGTCTTTGTTTTCATATGAAACGTTGTCATAGAAACATTGTAAATACATTAGTAAAGGATAACGATTCGATACACAATGTTACATTTTATTTATGATAAATTTCTTTATCGGAAATGCGGTAAAAAATAATATAACGAAAACGGTAAATAAAACGAACATTACATTACGTGACATTATCACTCTTCCTTTCATTCCTCCTATTTTCGCGATCTCGTTATGAAAGTTAAATAAATGTATGTACTTAAGTCATGGGCAAGTCAAAAATCGCGCTATGATTTAACCAGCTATATTATTACCTATATATTATAACTTATAAAACTTATATGTATATTAACTACACATGATCCCGTTTTAATTCGAGATCGATTTTATCAGATTTCCCCTCCACCGTGCCAAATTTTCGTATGGCTTCGTAGAGGTGTAATAGGGACGATTATGATCAATGAGAGGATTGCACGCGATCCAGCGACAGTAGCATCATGCTCTATCGTCCACGATGCAAATAGCTTTTATTATAGCTTAATTTATTCGCGATCCCGGACGCGAATAAATTACGCGCGATCACACGACAAAGGGGAATAAAATATTGTATATTTTCTAATATAATACATGCAGTGTACATTCTCTTTCATTATTTTTATATATTTTTACGTACTTTTTATCAAATTATTTATCGATTATTATTCACGACAAAACGCTTCAAAGCATTGCATAACTGAAATATTTTATTTTCAGTCAGTTCGCTCCGAGCAAACAATTTTATAATTAATAATTTGTATAATTAATCTGTATAATTTTTGGATAAAGTTATAAGTCCAGTTACATTTTATTTAAAAAATGTACTTTCTGTTGTATCCTCAATTTGACTTGTATATCTCCTCTATTCTATTCCCATCGATCGTGATTCTCGAAGATTTAAGAGAAAAAATTCACAGGGAGAATCCTGGTGGCATCCGTGCAATTTTTTACGGATGATTAAGGATAGAGACAAATTTCCTAAAAGTAAACAAACTCACTCCTGCAAGGCAAATGCGACAGTCTCGCGTACACTATTTTTTCGAGTTTTTATCATACACACAGCACAGGCATACGTACGCGCGTTTTGCAAGAATTAAGCGCACACAAGTATCATCACATGGGTCAGAAGTCATTCATCATGCGAGATCGTATCGGCGATGCGTCGATACCTGGAATCGAAGTCGATTCAGACAGAGAAATAAATTATACAGATATCGATTTAAGTAATAACGGCAATTAAAAGATCTTTTGGATGATAGCCGATGTTTTTTTTTGATAATAAAGAGACTTTTCTTGTATAATAGAATTTCTTGATGCAGTCGAAGAAAGAAATTTCTTGGTGAGCAGTGTATACTTGCAATCTTGTTATAATCTTTATTTTAATTCTATATATATATATATATATATATATATATATATATATAACTCCTAACTACATTACTTTAATTGTAACTAACTATTTTATAATGCGGATAAAAAAGAAGATTGTTTCTCAAGGATCGCTTCGGTATCAGGTGAAAACGCAAGTTTCCCGATCAACAATCTCGATCAATTTTTCGCGATATCCATTTTACATTTATCAAGCACATTCGCTCATTTTGCCATTTCGACTTGTTCAACTTCCGGGAACACTCTAATTCTCTAATTCTCGCGTCTTGTCTTCGCGGAAAGAAATTGTTCGCAAAACACTGTACACCGAATACAATCTGAACGCGAGTTCCCCGAGTTATCCGCGCTTGAACTTCAGTACCACAAGACTTGTCGTAAGGAATATGACAATCCAGATGATCGTGGAGATGAAGCCGCTGTAGACATTCGATTCTGAGATGCCCCAGCCACGAGTCAGTATCGAGCGTAGAGCTGTCGTTGCCATTGTCAGCGGCAGACATTGCGATACATATCGTAGAACCGTCGGCATGCCCTCCACCGGCCATATTACACCTGTAAATAGGAAATTATCGTATTTTTTATATCTAACTTAATATTTTAATTCCATCTTTTCTATTTTTTCTCGCATTTTTTTACGTATTTATTTTTCATAATTGAATTTATTTTATTTTCTTGTTTCTTTCATTTTTGTAAAAGGATTCTTTAAGCTAATTGTAAGAATGTACGTTTAAATGTACACTTCCCATCTTTTCATGAATGCTTAAGACACTTAGAATATTAAGTTTGTTTTATGTAAAAAGAGTAAAATTTGATAATTTAATAGCGAAATATAATCACAGCGAAGTATAATATTAAATACATTAATTTATCCTGATCGATGCACATATTATCATAAAAGTTTGTTTTAAAAAATTTCACAAGCAATCGCGATTCAAAATATTATTATATGAATAAAAAAGGAAAAAAGATTCTGAAATCAGATATATAATTATCTCCTAAATAAATTCAATTTTATAGCTTCAATTTTATACGTACCGCTGAGAAGAAGCGTAGGATAGAAGCTACCGAGAGCCAGCTGGATAGCATTCCTTTCGAGTTCACAAATCGCCGAAATCAGGAACCCTGCAAGAAAAAAGAAAATACAGGTGATAACGTGTCTTCTTTTTGATTTTAGTCACTCCTAAAAACGCCATTGTGTATCTTTTGTATAATTTATCTGTTTGTTTATATGCAATATTCTTATTTTATATGCATTTTTAACTTTTATATGCAGTTATCTTTCGTCTTTAATTAAATTTCGATTCTTCGGAAGAAGGCGCATTTTCCTCGCATACCGCAATATTAAAAAGAACGAGTGAGTCTCTTTAATATTATAAATAGATAATTGATGAGTGTCTTTTTTATAATTTTTCAGAATTAAAATCTGTGTTTCTTAAAAAATACCTCTATTTATTTTTTTCCATTTATTAAGAACAAATAAATGAAGAGACGCTATTTTACTTTAACGAATATACTTCATGCTTTATCTTATAGAATCGCCTTACCAAAGCACATGCCACAGAGTCCTTGAAGTATCGTCAGTATAATGACCCAACCGATATCGCCTTTACATTCGACATCAAATACTAGAATCATGAAGATTAATACCAGAGCTGTCTGACCACACATCACTACGAATTGCGTGACCACATGAGAGAATAAAATCTCGCCAGGTGACACGCCGGCCACCCAGCTTCGGTCAAGAAGGCCCTCCATTCTCTCGATGATCAGTGCCGATGATGTCAGTGCGACCGCCAAAAAGAAAACAATGCTATGAGCGGAAACAAAAATCAAAATATTAAAGCTGTATCCTTGTGAATATCATTATAAAGTTTCTCAGGAAGGATTTAATCATTGAAAAAAACAATTTTAATTATATTATGAAAAGAAAGTGAAAGAAGAGACAAAAAACGAATTAAATGGCTTTTAATTAATTATATTCTAGAAAAAAAAGAAAGTAAAAATAAAGTAAATTATAAATTATGTAATTAAATATATTAATGAGCTTACGTCAATATTACACCCGGTGCTACAAAGTCTGTAAAGCTGGGATCATTGGTACCATAGATGGGATCTTTGAATTGAATTGGTATGTCAGCCAATTTTGCATTCTGATGGCAGGATGTTAGAAGATCTTTGGCAAAATCTCTATACGAGTATTGAAGATTTCTCGCTAACATTAGGCCTATTTGTTGATCTGCAAGAGAACGAACTCATGACAAACGATATCAAAACATATAATCATTATATCGATATAGAAAAAATGATGTAAATAGCGTATCGATGAATAGCAAATACGTGCGGAAAGAAAAACAATAAGTTTTACACTTAATCGTTATATAAATAAATATAATATGCGTGATATCGATTGAATAATGCGATTATCAAATGTAATAAATAATATATTAATATGCAAACATCTCGATGAAAATAATATTTTACAAATGCTAAACGAGATACGAATAAAATATCTGAAGACAAAAAATCATAATTATGACCGCTTTAATTATTTACAGAATTTTATTACTGTTTTGCACTTTTAAACGAGAATACTTACTGGACATGTCTAGCCAAACTCTAATCTCGCTTTGATCGAGAGTTTCGTCATCGGAATCTTTTCCTAAGGCCATTCTCGCCACGAGAGCGTCTGTGAAATTCTCCGTGAAGTACAAAGTGCCCCAAACCTCTCCGTCGCGTATGTCTTTCATGGCCGAGTCCAGATCCGGATAATATTTCTATAATATAAAATATGAAGGAATTATTATATCTATTATACATTTGTGTTACAAATCAGTTTAATTTAGCCATTTTGAGATATCTGTGTTGTATATATTGCGTCTATTATATTATATTGTATAATAACATATATCATATATTATATTGTATCATATATTATATTGTATAATAATATATATCATATATATTTATATAGGTATATACATATAATTCAGATACTTGCCTTCGTAATAATATCAGTATCTAGAAAACTGAGATATCGACAACTGAGGTACGTGAAACTACAATCCGTCGAAATGGGGCACGTCATGTTCTCGTAAAACATTTCTTTATTCACTATAGCCACTTTTAGACCCTCGGGATCTCTCCCGATCGCTAGGCAGAAGAGAATCACTTGCATCACCGGTAGAGCGAAAATAAACAGCATTACACTACAAAAAAATAATTTATATGTTACGACGCTATATACATATCATTATGCAAATATTCAAATAACTGTTTATCATTTTTTGACTATTCATCATTTTTTTGTGAAATCCTACTAATTTATTTATATGTCAATATTGGAATAATATACATATACATATTCTATATTTCTTTTATAAAAATGTTATAATAGAAAATCAGGAACGATAAAATCGAAAGAATAAAGCAAAAAAATAAAAAAAACTTGATTATTGATTATTCCGCAAATAATCTCGGCTAATAAAACGTACCCGACATTTCTCCACATGCGCAAAAAGTTTTTCTGCAAAAGCGCTTTGATCTTGCCTGAACTGGTGATATTATAGCAGTCTGTAAAGTTGCCGCAATCATTGCATTCCACAACAGATCCTCCTTTTGCACTTGGTAATGGCCTACCATTTATCTATTTCAAAAAACCGTGATTTATATTAAAAAAAATTGAGATATGTGTTTATATAATTAAGAGACGCGTTATATAATTTACATATTCATTTTACATTTATATAACTTTCTCATTTAATTTTATAGTCAAAAAATAAATTATGAAAACATTGTACCTTTTTTAAGAATTATTAATACAGCATCAATTATAATGATGAACATATATATATTTATATTTTTATAATCTCATATTTTATTTATTAACACTAAAATATTACACAAACTAATTCTCGAATTTAAAAGACCTTGATAACGATATATATATAAATAAATATGTTGAACTAAGGAAGAAATGAAAGAAAAAGCACATATATATGCATCGCTGACATTGAAGGAGTGCGTAATCTACAGTGATGTGCAGTGAACCTCTTACATCATAATGATTTGCTATTCCATTGGTGGAGTCGTAAATCAGGGCTTCTTTACTTTGGTGGAAGTTGAGGCCAACAACACCGGACTCTTCTGTCACGTATACTGGCTCATCTTTCTTGCCCCAATTTAGAGAAGCCTGTGTGCAAGACGAAAAAAAGAAGCGTGGAAAATAGCAATAAAATGGTGACATTTAATGTATGTATCTGACTCAGTCAGATGATAAGACTATATTACAAAGTTAGCGCTTTTTGCGAATATATGCTGCACATGTCGACTGTACAATAATCAGAAAGAGACGAAGACATATTTTAATAAGATAATGAACATACTTAACATTATCTTTGATATATAATGTAATAACATCATAAGAATTCAAAAGCAAAAAATAAGGAATGCAATAAATTAAAAAAAATGCATAAATTAAATAAATGGATAAATTAAATAAATAGAACTAAATAAAAGCACTTTGAAATTACTTTGAAGAATATTTAAATGGTGGCAATAATATTATATATGTAGTAGCAATTATATATAAATATTATACATAATGCATATTATATATAATGAAGATAAAAATCGAAACATTTGGATTTATATTAGCTATTTTTTACTGTGCAACGTGTTGTAAATTTATCAATTTCAAATTTACGTAAAAATTGTTTGAGACAAAATACAATGTAAAACAACGCACGAATAAAAATAATTTTTAAAATTAATTTTTAAAATTAATTTTTGAAATTTTCTTACTTACCAAACTGATATTGTTTGAAATATTCAATTCCGTTGGAACTGAAACTTGCTGTCTCGATAATTTCAGGAAGACCTCTTCAAGGGAGTCGCAGTTGTATATTTGTAAGAGTGTCCTAGGTGACTCCTCGGCTAATAATCGGCCGCTTCTCATCAAACCGATCTAATGAAACCGTTTCCTTTTCTATTATTCTCAAATTATGCAAACAATGATTATGATTATTTTGAAGATAACTTAAAGATAGTTTAAATATCTACTACAAAAGCGTAAATCTAATGCAAAAATAATGCAAGTTTATATAAATGTTTAGGTTTATTGTTCGAGTTTTTATTTGTGTTATTTGTGAATAATTTTAATACTTCAATTTATCTCAGTTTATCGTATGACTTTTTAGATTTCTGAGTTAAATAGTGAATTTCCATTGGCGGCAAAAAAATGCGAGATCAATTTTCCTCTAATTAGTCGAAGTATTCTAATAGATTTATCGCAGGATAGATGAATTATGGATAAAAAATTGAGATTGATCTCGGAAGCGATTACACTGTCATTTGTATCTGGCATAATATGCAGGTGGAATAACTAGTCAATACGATAATAACATGTCATCAGTAAAAGTCAATCATTAGAAGGACTTGTTATTATGTCGAGAATTCCTATATCGTTGCTTATTGATCATATCTATTTTTTTATCACTATTTTTCAAGTATATCAACTACTTACATATAAACACTTGGATTTCATCAAAGCGTTGATTAATTTTTATTACATTATTATAAAATTATTATAAAATTTATAATTTATAAAATTGTTACATACATTATAAAATTGTTGATCCTCATTTTTATTACTTTTAACACGTTATTTTTATTATGTTTTACACAAAAAAATTGAGTTAAAATTGATAAAATTATAATATCTGATTATTTGATCATAATATTCGATTATATTCGATCATAACATCTAATTAAACAATAATGTTACCGTATGCGCTTGTCGGGCTTCTTCGATGTAATGTGTCGTTATAATGACCGTCTTGTTGCCGTCTTTGGTGATTTGAACCAGATGGTTCCATATACTATAAAAAATAAAAAATTGAAAAGACATTTCTTAATTATATTTAATATATTTTTTATATAATTTTGTAATTTAAACGATATATTATTATATTAAAAAAAAAAAAATATATATATATATATATATATATATTTATATTAAAAAATATATAGGGAGAAAAGAAAAAAAAAGTAATCAGAAAGAGAGACTACAAATATACAATGTATAATTCTACAAACATTAATTAATTATGTTAAAATAATTATAATAGTATATATATATATATATATATATATATATAATTAAAAATATAATTAAATATAATTAAATGCACATAAAGAGGAAATTAATGCTAATGTACGTACATCTATCTTGCTAGACACAGTGATCAATTTTTACGCTCGCAACAGTTTCTGATTGAAGCTATTACTATTTCTAGTTATTCCGCAATCAGAAATTCGCATCGTTTGTGATTAATGTATTATTACATACATGTATTATTACGTATATATGTGTATAAGAGAAGCTCACGTCATTATTATATATATATATGATATTTTGAACATAATTCTCGCGTGATTTTTTGGCGTTTCTGACACTTTAATTTTTACGACAAAAACTCTGATACGATAAACATCTCCATAAGTAAAGAAAAAAAAAATAAGATTTGTTATTGAAAGTGAAAAAAGAAAGCATATAGATATATATGTTTAGAATAATATATGTTTGCTTTTCGCGAATCGGTTGATTTTTCCATTTTGTTACACTCACAATATTGAGAAAAATTGTGAAAAATTAGTAAAATCAGACCGTAACTAACTAAGTAAAAGTTGAAAGGCGCAGATACGGCGCTTAAACATTTCTTGTACCTATGTAGATATGTATATTATTAGACGTTATTGAATATTAGAGAACCTTTTTTATACATAGAAAAAATTAATTTTTAAACTTAAATTTATTAAAAAGATTTACTCAATCAAAGAAAATTTATAAATACAAATTTTTTTTCTAATGACGGCCATTGACTTGCCACGAAAGTTTGATATCTTGATCTCTTGTGTCTACGATTTGATATCTTGTCTGCTATTACATATATTTATTATGTCACATTAATGTGTTATTTAAAGACAAATATACAATTTAATGATGAGTAGAATGACAGAAATTTGATAAGAAAAAATATAAAATAAATTATGACATTCTAGCGATATTTGTGAATGAAAAATGATCGATCCACAAATATTTTATAAGATAATTGTTATGTGACATTTGAGAAAAGCGAACAATAGACATAACAAGAACTAAATTTTTTTTCTTAAATAATAATTTAATACTTAAAAATTTTTTTACTCTACTATGCAAATTGCTAGTATTATTTTTTATCTTTTCTGTGGATTAGATTTATTTATCTCGTTTACGGAAATTATGCATAGCAAGAACAGTTTTATAAATAGATGATTAATGTTTCATTTCTGAAAATTTATATGAATCTTATTTTCATTTTATTTACATTATACATACATATGATCGATTTCATTTTTTTTAAGCACCGAAGGACATTGCATAAGCATGAAAAAAAACGAATAAAAGATATGACAACAATAATTATAATGATAATTATAATGAGTGATAATTATAATGATTGATTTCCCGTCATCAAAATAAAATATTATTGTAGAAAATATTCGGATAATTATTCATTTATTTTCGAAGAGAAGCAGTTATTTCTTTTTTATATGAAAGCAAATTCTGCTTTTTTACCAAATCGAAAATGTTCTGCAAAAATTCCACAATTACTATATTATTAAAATTTGCAATATTTACAAATTTATTTGGAAAGACTTTATCCGTTATTTTAGCTTTATCCGTTATTTAGGTTTTGTGGTTTCTAAAAAATAATTTTCTATAGATTTTTTCTAAAGATTTTTTAGAATTTGTTTTTTAAATCTGTTATTATTCACGACGCGTTTCAAATACATTTATAAGCTAAGAACTTTTTATAGTCGTGACTTAATATACTATTTGAAATCTTTCATTTTCACATGAATAAATATGTGTTTAAAAATGTTTTAATGAAATATTTATCATGCTTTTATGTCCAGAAAGGCTTTATACGACGGGAGTGAGTTATAATTATTGTTGAATGTCATGATCATTATAAGCGGATGTAGACTGGCCGATTACTATTTCAGAAGTCAAAGTCCAATGTCCAAAAATGGAAATTTGAAGACAAGAACCATTCCTTCTTCGAATAAGCATTAGTAAAACCTGAACAATTGTTAATGAGAACTGCCAATAAGGAACTTTAATTATCTTTCAGCTTAAATCTTCTCCACGTATACAAATTGCTATATAACACGAGTTTCAAAAGTCTAATTTAACATTAGAATAAAATAGAAAAATGCTAGTTAAGAAAATATACTTGAAGCATTTGCAAGTTTCATTTTTCATTTTTGTTTTTTTGCTGTCATACATATTCGCATACAGAGCCTGTTCACATAAACTTCTATTTTAAATAAAACTTCAAACGTGATTTATAGTTGAACATATTGATTATGAATCATGTGATACGCACAATTTTATCTCGACATTTGAATTTTCAGCGAAAATGCGAATGAAAATTTTTGTCATTTTTGAATTTGTTCTCTTTCCTTCCTTATTTGATATTTGTTTCAGAATAATTGCGCGAAATAACAAAAAAATTTCATTTGAAATATATATATCCAATCATCTCAGATCGAAATTAAGATTTTAAGTTGTGTAATGTATACTAAAAATATAGATAAACATGTACATAAAAGAACATGATATTTGAAAGATTTTTTAAAATTTTGATATGTAATTCGCGGTAATTTTTAAATATGTTAAGAATATGACACTGTATATATGTGTTTTAATAATGCTTTTAATTTAATTTATTTTTAACGACGATTTTTAAAGAAAAATCTAAATTACAATCGTGTTATATTAAATATTAAATTAAATATTCAAATTGCAGCGTTGATGATTTATCTAAAACATTTATTTAAATCGCGTGACTAACAATATACTAAAAGGACCCCGCAGAATCCTTATGGAAAATGGCTTTCGGTGAAATTTTCTGAAACTTTGCCATATGATAGTTCTTGATGCGTAGATCAAAAGTGTCAATGGACACATAGTCTGAAAAATTATAGTTTTTGAGTTACAGCTGTTTGAAGTTGGTGATTTTGCGTAGTATAAGGCTGCAATATGATCATATAAAGTAGTATATGGAGCTTTATATATACATAACTATGCTTATATATATTTTTCCTACTTACATATGTACATATTTACATACTTTTTACAATTACATGTATATTAATGTATACATATGTTTATATATATATATATATAAACATATGTATACATTAATATACATGTAATTGTAAAAAGTATGTAAATATGTACATATGTAAGTAGGAAAAATATATAAGCATAGTTATGTATATATAAGCATAGTTATGTATATATAAAGCTCCATATACTACTTTATATGATCATATTGCAGCCTTATACTACGCAAAATCACCAACTTCAAACAGCTGTAACTCAAAAACTATAATTTTTCAGACTATGTGTCCATTGACACTTTTGATCTACGCATCAAGAACTATCATATGGCAAAGTTTCAGAAAATTTCACCGAAAGCCATTTTCCATAAGGATTCTGCGGGGTCCTTTATGAGTGTTAGTATGAATGTGAGTTGTTATTAACATGCTATATAATTAGCACGTGTATGATTTCACATATGTTTAACTTTTTATAATAATTGAAAAATATAAAATGTTCATCCATAAGATAATTACAGTCATCTCACTTTTTAAAATTATGCTTATTGCAAAAGGAAACACAAGGTTAATCATTGTGACATCATTGTACGTATAAAAGTTAGCTGTCTCTTTCAGTTATTGCATTTGTATATATTGAATTATTATATAATAACTATATTTTCTATCAAAATTTGTTTTTAAAACGTATGAAAAAAAAAGAAAGCCACTTACCTTTGTCTTAATAGCGGATCTACACCTACGGTCGGTTCATCCAGAATCAGCAATTCAGGATCGTGCATAAGTGCTACTGCAAAGGATACTCGCCTCTGTTGACCACCACTAATACGCAGAAATAATGTGTTAATATTAATATATTATAATTATGCAACATATTTCACGAAATTTGAAATTTACTATAAGCAAGGTAAACAACACTTATATTTTTGGCTCAATTCTCAAAATTGTTAAACAACAAATATCGATAATATAATATTTCGAGAAGAGTGGAATAATTGGATGGTGAAATTATTTTATTTTTGAATATCAATGGTTCTTAAATATTGCAAAATAAATATTCAGCTCTTGTTTCGAAAAGAGACGTGTAATTTGCAAAGTTATAACGTTCTTAAAATAGAGTGGTTCTGAACATAATCGAGAGAATCTCTTTGCACGTGAATGAATACCTGAGATTCTTCACCAGACGATTCTGCGATGGCAGATCGAGAAATTGCAGTAAGAAACGCAGCCTCTCAACAATCTCGCCCGTGCCCATTCCGAATATCCAGCCAAAGTACAGCATGGTCTCGCGGATGGTGAACTCGCCGTAGAGAGCAATTTCTTGTGGCATGTAACCGACTCTCTTCCCAGGTACGCCGGAGCCCTTTGTCCCTGGTTTACCACCTAGCACCCAGATTTCGCCTGAATTCAATTTTCGTCGGCCGACGATGCAGGATAATAGGGTAGTCTTGCCGCATCCACTGGCTCCCAGCAGCCCATATCTAGTATAAATAATTAATTTTATCGATATTCGTTTAAATTACAATAAGTTTGTTGAAAAAAATGCTTCAACTTGATTCGAGAATCTTTTATTGAGTAGGAAATTTTATATTCTGTATAACAGACTTTAGAATCTTTTTAGACTGATGGAAGGACAACTTGACATGGATGATAAATATCCTTACGCGTATTCTATTAAAGGTATTTCAGTCATCTATTTAGTTTTGAATGTGAATAGGTGAGTCGGACCGCTTGCGACGAGCATCATTTACATTTGCAATTTTTGTCGATATGCTAACGAAAGCGTGGTTAGCGCATTTGAAAGATTCAAGATTCTTGAAGTCCAGGCAAAATGCAAATTCTGTCGGGAATTATTTGTAACTCTGATCCTGGAGTGGTTTCGCCGGAAGTTGAATGATAGAATTGTTTGCATGACTGATAAGCGCTCGCGGGAGACTCTCTCGTCAAACGGAATGCAAAACGAGCGTTACGTCGTGTCGTGAGACGAACATGTGGCTCGTCAAGAATTCGTTGAAGCAAGCACAATAAACGAATAATCAAATTTAAATTGCAACGGCGGGTCAATTGAAGGCTGAATGCGAAGCGTACGTGACATAACTCACGACGAGGTAAATGGAAATTGAGAACATGGCCTGGGACATTGCCTTTATGCCGAAGTGAATCATGAGAAATTGTCATCGGCTTATGCGAATTTTATTATATTTTCTTATATATAAAATATTCCTACACCCTTTCTTTTACTTCCAACAAGATTCCTTTTCAAGAATGTGGATTTTCACCGCTAGAAGTGATTTTTGATTAAATCTATAATTATTTAATTAAGGAAGTGGACAGACATTTTTGTTTTATGAATGAAATAAATAACAAAGAAGAGTGAAATTTCAGAATTAAGTTTGTAATTAATAGCTAATTAAAGTGTCGATAAAATATTTTAATATTCTTTATTATTATTGTTAAACGAAGAAAGATTAATCACAACATGACCAGTTTATTATAAAGATCGATACGCTTCCAATGTAATTAAAACAATAATTAGTTCTTTCAACATTATTTACGATAATTGTGCAATCAATAATTATATAAAGCTGACATTAATCGCTTAAATAGGTCCACTTAAAGTCTTATATAAACGATCATTATGATGAATATGTTCAAGTAATAATATTTTTACAATTTTTTGTTAGAAATTAGATCCGAAAAAAAAAGAAAAATGTCTATGATAAAATGCAAAATATATTGTATACAAAACAATATAATAAAAGTAAAGCTTTTTCAACGATATTTCTTACAAATTCTTTTACATGGCTAACGAAGAATTCTGATGTGTAAAAGATAAACATTTATGATCTGAAATGCGAGAAAATAAAAAATGCGAGACACACTCGATCAATGCCCATATATTTTTTTAAAGGAGTCGATATTATTTTTAAAAAATACACACAATTAAATGTCACTAAAAATGTCAACTCACTAAAAAATTTTAAAAATTCTTTATAAAATTAATTGATACAATCATACATATTCTTATCGGATATCGTTAGAACAAAATCAATTTAGCGAAATTGTTGAAAAAAAGGATTTCTTACAGACAAAAGGAAGATTTTTACAGATGTCAAAATATTTAAAGTATGCTTACTTTGTTTTAAAAGATCTTCAATATTTTGTGTGTGTGAATCATTATTAGATTAGATCGAGCAAAATATCGAAATTGCCATTTTTAGCAAAATATTGAATAATTAATCCTAATTTCATTAATTATTGTTTATTCGATATTTTAAAAATGACATTTGCTAAGAACAATAAGCAAGATATCGAATAATTAACAATAACTCCGTTAATTATTTGATATTCTGCTAATTGAAATTCCTAACAAATGCTTTAAACGTTACTGACAAAATTTAAATCCAAAATGTAAGAGGAATAGTCGCGTACATTTCTCTTGAAAGTATAATCTGATACGCTAAATTATTATCTCAACTTTGCAATTTGTAACGCGAAAGGCATGATATAATCGTATATCTCGATCGCCTGGCAATTACGAAATGAATTCCGTAATGATTATAACGGAAATGATTTTTTTAAGTGTTTCAATTTCCTGGTTGCATTATAGACTACATTGTTGTTTCATATGTTACGGAATAACTATTGCGAATAATTCCTTATCATAAATCGCGATCTAACAATTTGAAATACAACATTTCGCACAATATTGCACAGATTAATCGTCGTTCCAATAAATGATAAATTATTAAGGTAGAAACGAGTTTCATGTATCGCTTTCTCAAAGCAGCGTATTTAGTAATATAGATTGTGTATTCAGTAAAAAGACATAAATGCTCAATTTTTTTTATTTTGACCGCAATTACAAGAGAGAAGGTACTGGAGCCAGGAAATTGAGCAATCACACTGATGGCGAGACATGTAAATTTAGCGTGCAATGTAATGAACATGTGATATGAATAAAAAATCTACATTATTATATTTTTTTATTATTATGTTTCGTTTTTAATTATTAATAACAAATAAGTTATAATTTACATTATATTATAACATTTTTTAGACATTTATATAATATTAATATTTATCGTTTCCATTTTAACTTGCATTAAATACATTAAGAAACTTATGTGTCATATATATATATATATATATATATATATATATATATATATATATATATATAATTACTTGATCTATATTTAATACAGATATAAAAAAATTAATAAATTTTTTAATTTAATTTTGTGCATTTAAATAATGCAAACTAAATAATATGAAAATAATAATAATATAATAATATTGAAAATATCTATAACATCAATTGATTATTATTATTGTAAATGAAAAATGGATTTTTTGTCCCATTACATGCACATATAATATTTTATAATATTTTACTGCAAAAATTTTATACTCCCAATTAATAAAATAATTAGTATACTTACATCGAGCCTTTGGCTACGGTCATGTTGAGATTCTGTAAGATTTGATTCGGATTTTTAGTGCTGCCATAAGTCTTGAAGGCATGCCTAACGCTAACGGCCTGCTGACGATTCCAGGTGGGGTTGTTCAGGCCCGGCGACGCCAGGACGGTGCTCGACGTCATCGTTGTCAGATCCACGTTGGTATCCGTGTTGTTCTGCATCGTCGTTGCGTTCGTGAGACCCGCGGCACCCGCACCTCCGTCGCTGGAACACGAGCGAGCATGACATTAACGAGAGCGCGCATTTTCAGAAATCGCACGCGCGATTACCGATGCAGAAGGATGTCACAAATCGCATGCGATGTCTTGTGCAATCTTATATGCGATATCAATGCGCGGAGATTTCTTTGCGCGATCGCTCGCAAGGTGCTTGTGATGCGTCGCGTACAATCGTGATGTAAAAAATATTTTCGAGGTGAGGCTAACTGCGATTCTCTGTAAATGAATTATGCTTCTTTCTGAAATTAATGTAATTCGATCGAAAATTATTATTAACAATTTTTTTCATCTTCAAAACTATATCTCTGAATTTTATGGAAGAGAGAGAGAGAGAAGTGCTGGAATTTTATATGGAAAATTGTAACGCTGTGTCAAAAACACGTGTCCACTCTCTTAAAAAGAAATCCAAAAACGCTCCTGCGAAATTATCGCGTATTACACGCACCATGGGAAACGATTCTGCAAATCTCGAATTGCACGGTATATAGAAAGAGCGACGTGAATTACGTAATAGACGTGCGGCTTTCTTTTCGCTGACGCGCGTGGCAATTCATTGGGCAATATGTAGACGGGCGCTCATGTGTATCCTCTAGATGATACACAGGTGTATATGTATATACGTGTACACGTGCGTATGTATAGAGATGCACACGCATCGGCGCGGTCAATGAGCATGAATTCACGCGATTTCTGTTTCACTCGTTGTTTCACTGATCTTATTTCGCGATTTTTCTTTCCTTCAGAATGAGCTCTCTCTTGCGCGAACATGCGAATATTGCATTCTTCATATTTTGTAGCTAATAAAGTTAGAGAATGCGAGTATTACACTTGTTGAAGTGTAAAATGCTATCTCTTAATATGAAGATAAATATAAACTTTGTAAAAATTAATTTGAATTATAACAATAAATTATAAAATTGAATTAAGATTGATTTTCAAATTCATATTTTTGTTTTCTTTAATAATTAATTTAAATAATTATTTATGCAATTGCACATTTTTTGCTTCAAATTTATTATTATCAGTTTTTTCATAAAACAGATTTTGTGATCATTTTTTGATCATTTTTGTCCAAAAGAAGCAATAAGTTTCATTTTAAACAATAGACTTGTCTTTTATTGCTTGATGTACTTATTTTTTAGAATTAGAAGTGACGTTGTTACAAAACTTATTTATTGCACAAACTTAAATTATTGTATATTGTACAAACAAATCAACTTAACAATTGATTGCCAATAATTTAGATAAATTATTATCTTTGAAAAATTATTTGTAAAATAATATGCTGTGTGCTATGTGTGTCGCTGGATATACAAACGAATTTATATAATGACCTTTACAAACATCGCATTGTAAGACTCATGTTTTTCCAAGAAATTTTTGTAATATTAATCCATTAGATTACTACGCATTAAACGCGTGAAGGGGAATGATTTAGCAATGTTTCAACGTATATAATTATTACGAGTCATAGTTGTAAATATATGAAATGTATAAAAACTATATCGCGAGTCTAAAAAAGCTAAATTTGTGTTGCAATCGCGTGAAAAATTTTGCGATGTTACACGTAAAGAAATATTTCACAATTAGAATGAGAAAACAGATAGCTTTTTATAATTAATTTTTTTATCAAATTAATTGACACTATTTGATTCTACAATCAAATTAACATCACACCCATATCGACCGATTTGTGACAATTTATCGTCCCGCAGCAAAAGATAATTATTTCGCAAGTGGTGAATGGCTTGTTAACGGTAAATAAGAAGATTATAAGAAGCGACTTATTATTTTTACATTTTTACTTTAATATTAATGCATAAATATTTACTGTTAGGAATAATTGAAGGAATCTAACAAGTTTAATACAATAAAGTATATAAAACTTAATTGGAACAGACAATTATAAAAGATATTTTGTCTTGTGACCTGCAATCGCATCAAATTGCATGTATACGTGCGTTTAGCAAGAAGCGCAGTTGCGGCAGTAAAATGTTTTGTTGCAACAGAGTGGTATATTTCAAAATATATGTGTTGACATACTTTTTGATTCTTACTAATCTGCATACTAATCTGACAAATAAGTTCTAAGAATCAAAGAAAAAGAGAAAAATAATATAAATATTTTTGCAAAAAAAGAAACAAAAACGTATATACAACATCGAGATGTAAATGATGCTAGTAATCACTAAGTATTATACACAACAATTATGGTAATTGAACGGTGAAGTGTTGTGACATTTAATATATGTATTTGTGTAATAAAAATATTCAAGACCGTGCATAAAAAGAGAAAAACACCTTTGTTGATCAGCCTGTTCTTGCGAGTCGATTTCGGTGACCAATACAGAATTCGATGATTTATCGCCGACTCGAGCCGCATGTTGTATAATTTTCGTTAATCTGAACGTAAAATGATTTAACATTGATATGCCAGAGAGATACTACTATGTTACATTTAGGATTAGCGATGGGTTGAATCCAGTTGCCAATTTCCGAAGTTATCAATTTTCTTTTAGTCGGAATGATCGAAATTCATGCATTTCAAATTTATTTCAATTAAAAAGTTATCTTGTTGAGCATATTGCTATCAAAGGAAATCTTTTTTATGTAGCACACGCATATAAAAAAACCTTAATAAAGCTTCCTTTATACACAATTAAAATAGTTTTCTAATAAATCTTTTCAATTTAATAAATCTCTTTATAAATAAATCACATGTATTAAAAGTTTAACAAATTTATGCAACATATATTTGCTAAGAGTTAATATAAATATAAACACGATGGAATTTGTCACAATTAAATTAAATGAAATGATTTCTAAGACATCGTGATTTCTTTCAGAAACAGTAGCAAGTTCTTTTCGGAATTAGAATTAAATGAAAAAATTTTTATTTGAACCCATCGCTATAGAATCGTGAAGGATGCTTTTACCGATTAGTTTTTACTCGCTGCTTAAGTTCGATGGCAGGTAATTCTAACGGTGTGGACGATTTGTCGCGCCGTTTGCATCGCTTGAACTCGCGTCTATGGAAGAAAAGCATCTCACGCTATTGCAAATAATCATCTTAATGTGATGTGCTAATCTTCGTATTCTCTAAATCGTATAATAGGCTTGACAAATAGCTAGACTTTCTAACAATTTTTATTCAATTTAGTATGCAATTGCAATGTTTTATTAAAGTATTTTGTGACGGAAAATATAAAATGTATTAATATAAATGTGTTAATATAATTTTGTAACTATTTCACAATTTTTAATTTTTAATAAAGTATATTGAATAATTATATATATATATATATATATATATATATATATATTTAAATAATTTTTGATAATTAATAATAAATAAATATACATGAAAATAATCATAATTTTACACGATTAATAAAAAATAGTTGATTATGTATTTAATTTTATCTTTAAGTAAAGAACACGAAGGTTAAAATATCGGCGAAGTTATTGTTACCGATTTTCATATATCCGTGATACAAATTTAGATCTGGCTTTGGTCGTGGGTGGACACGATTTGACATCCCGTTTGCGTCCCATGATTGTACTTGGTCTGCGAGAGGAAAAGCATATGATTCCTGTAGATACGAAAATAGTAATCGCATCTTGAAGCAATCAAGCGTTTGAATTAGCTTTATCCGTGACGCATATATGTGCGTTTTCTTTCAGCTTTAGTTTTACTGTCATAAAGATCCAAGCTTAAAATCGAAAATACTCCCTCAGTAATTTACTTAGTTCATTTATGTTTATTTTATGGGAGATAGAAATACTCGTACATTTTTTTATGATATTAAAAATTTTATTTATAATCTATTGTATTAATTTTTATTAAGAAGAGAGAGAGAGAGAGAGAGAGAGAGAGAGAGAGAGAGAGAGAGAAAAGGGAGAAGAAAGAGAATTATAAGTGAGTATTGAATTTGATTGTTCATACAACACTGTGTTTCGGAATAAAATAAACTTGTTCGGTAAATTGATTACTCGATTTACTAAGGTTGCATTTACTTATTTTTAGACCTCAAGTCTTTATCTATTCGCACATCAATGCTTGTTAAAACATTACCGAGATCGATCATAATTGTCGCAATAAAAATAGAATAATGATGTCATATTCGTTTTTACATTTTAATAATAATTTTATATAATAATATATTTATAACTTTTGCTGTTACATGCATGACGATTCGCACGGGCAGTCGACTTTAATCAAGAAATCACACTGCGCAAAGTTCGATTACAATTATTATTATTAAAGTGGAAGCAACACGAATATATATATATATATATATATATATATATATATATATATATATAAATGTATTTATGTTCCAGTTGGAGAAGAATTATCTGTGAAGAATATTATCTAGAATTATCTGTTTTTTATATTTTGAATATAAAAAATAAATGACAAAGATCGATTAGAATTTTATCGAGAGATTGCGATTGCATTTGCGGAAGAAAAACATTAATAGATTCTTAAATTCACATGTATCATATACGCGTGAAAAAAAAGACGCGTTTAAGGAGAAAAAAACATCGGTATTCATATTTCTTTCACTTTAATAATAATAATTATAATCGGACTTTGCGCAGTGTGATTTCTTGATTAAACTTGACTGCCCGTGCGAATCGTCATGCCGACGTGACAGCGAAAGTTGTCATGGTATTGCGTATTCTTGCGTAGTTAGCGGTGCTGTACGGATGTCGGAGTTCAGCGTCGCCACCGGTGTCATTTTAATACTGCATAAGTCTAAGACAATGTGGTCACGGCCGCGCATAGATAGTCGATCGACGCGGCGTACAAACGTAGAGAGGATACCATGATTTTTCTTGCAGTGTGAAGTCCATTCGTCCGTTTTATTATGGTCATAAAGAATGGTCATTAAGTCATTAATGCGAGAATCTTTTCTATATACTTTGAATTGATAATACTTTGCAGTTATAGTTCGATTGATCTTCTATTTCGATTTATTCATACAAGAATGGTTGGAAGCTATGATAATATATTGTATTTGGACAATTGCGATCAAATTGAGTTAATTTTTATTTATGTCTTTGCCAATAGATTACTTATTATGCAGCTCTGAATTGATTTTCGATAATATTTTCTGTATATTTTATATACAGAATATTTAATGCTCATAAGCATCATTAATAAATGAAATAATTAATTGATCTTGGTATTTTTTACCAGACATATGTGTGTGTGTGTGTGTGTGTGTGTGTGTGTGTCTGTGTGCGCGCGCGCGCGTGTGTGTAGTTATATCTACGATTTCTTGAATTACCAAAGTTCATATTGCTTACTTTTAATAAGAAATTAATATTTATAATATTTCTTATTAAAAGTAAGCAATATGAACTTTTGTAATTTAAGAGAGTTCGTAGATGTAACTACATGAATTTTACATTACCGAGCATTACGTCAAAAAAGCCAAGGATAGAGAAGCGAAAAAGATTACTTTATTCACTCAAACTTATAATATTTCCGCGATTTTTATTCTCGACGTACATACACGTTATCGTTCTAATTAAAACGCACATTCTAATCGCGATCAGGGACGCATAATTCTCTCCCTCGGTCACACAACATATATCTCTGATCTATTACAAGGCAGTTAATCGTTTAGTAACTCCGTGTAAAACCGCGATAACGACTGATAGATGCGGTTTAATAATCGCAGGTGAGCAGCGTTGTTCCTCTCATCGGCAGCGCGATCGATTCCATCGTGACAGATATTATTATCATTATCATTTGTCATCGTGAGATTGCAATAAATCGTAACTACCGATCATCCATTAAATCTGATGGTGCATAAACGCGTTTGCCTCGATATAAACGACAAGATGGACACGTACGCGATTTATCGTTTGCAAAATGACACTGTGCGAGTATCTGTCTATCATATCGTTCTGCTTAGATATCGATTGCGTAAATGCATTACACGAACATAGGCTTAAACTTTCATCAGGGTTATATACCCTTTTCAAGGTTGTGCTACTTACTTATCATGTTATTTGTGTGATGTACATTATATATTTTTATCGGATATATGATACTCTTTTTCGTTCCATTGCGTATAGACAACAGAAAATGCTAATTAAAGATACTTAAGAAATTATATGTAATAATAATGACGTAATCTATTTAGTGCGACGAGAGCTTATATGAGATACCGGAGAGGTCGGGGACAAAAGTAACATCTTTTGTATTATAGATCACTAATTAATTATCGTTAGAGATATAAAAAAATATTATATGTTAAAAAACTCTATTTATTGCTCTATTATTATATTTATGTTTCAATCTCAAATAATAAATAATATTTATAATAAATAAATATATATTTAAAGAATTATTATAGCTTTTCACAAGTACGTGGCTTATTACTTTTGTCTTGGGGGCCGGGGACGAATATAACATAGTCTAGGGATGAAAGTAACAATTCTTATTTTCGAGAAAATAAAATAAATATCTTTTTTCAATTTAAGGCAACTTTTATTATAATCTTTTATTAAGCAAGATAACTTTTATTATAAATTTATTATGTATTATATTAAAATAAAAAAATTATTATGTATTATATTAAAATAAAAAATAAAATAAATATTTATTTTCATCATCTTTAAGAAACTTAAAAGAAATAATCTTCATTAAGCAAAATAATTATAAATAATATCATAAAATAATTATACTTAATATCACACCAGTTTTGTACTTTTTTAAGTCTAAATAATAGTTTAATTCCAAATAATAGTGTAAAAATTGTATGATAACTATTTATATAAAAAAAGATTGGTATCTATTCCGAATCACAATTATGGCATACAATATATATATATGTTGTTTTTATATATGTGTTGTTTTTGTATATATATATATGTTGTTTTTATTTGATTATATTTTATATTGTGCTGACACAACGGAATAATTAATAATAAATTGATAATTGACTTTTAATATAGTAAATATTACAATATTCGACATTTATATTTTAAACAATTTTATAATATATTTGACAATTTATTTTATGATTAAGACATAATTTATAATAAATATTTAAAAAGTATTTTAATGATACTTTATAGTTCCAAAACGAATTGATGCTTTTTTTCGGAGCATTTTTTTTACTAAGAAAAAGAGATACAATATATAGATACAATTTCTTCAAATTATAGTAATAAATTATAAATAATAAATAAATAATAAATTATATTATATTACAAAATTGTATAATCTGTCCATTGATACACTTTGACATTAGTAAGAAAGATTTGTTTTGAAAGACAACTAAGTAACTAAACTGTTTTGTAACAATTTTTTTAAGGTTTATAAGGTGAATACCAAATTTTTATTTTATAGCGAGAAACGTCAAATACATATAACTATGTTTCTTAATTTTTTCTTGTTTTCTTTTTTATTTATTGCATACAGTTTGAATATTTTTTATATACTTGACTTGTTTTGCCCTTTTTCTTAGTTTAGAGTTGCATTAAGTAGTTAAGATCTGCAATTAAGACAAGCTTGTCGCTAAATTTGCGTAAATCCATCGTGTTGACTTAAACGTTTGCTAATGTGCTTTCTTACTAATGTGCGATTTATTAATGTCAACGAAACCACGCTGATTAGAATTCAAAAATTGAAGTGTAGAATTGTTACACAATACGACATTCCGACTGAAAACATGGAGCGAGGATATGTATGAAAAGATTGCTTTCTAGGTCATGGTCGAAATGCGAATCTAATGACGAAAATCAAAGTGTAAAAATTATTCTCGTGATATATTTTATTCCATTTTTCAAGGAAATTTTAATGGATTGGTCGCGTTTCTTCTTTATGTCTCTTCTAACATGTCTTGAATTTTTTTTTAAGAATACTTGAGGATATTTTTTATGTTATATGCATAAAAACAGTATAAACTCAAACATGAAATTGAATTAATTTTTTTAAAGATAGTGTCAATTTCTTTCACTCTTTTTCTTCTCTCTCTTCTTTATACATATATACATATAATATAGAGAGAGATCTTAGAAATCATAATACGAATGCTTAATCGACAACTAATGTCTGATTGACTGATGTCATGTGATTTAATTCTCGGAATGTTACTTTACAAAAATAAATAAGATTAAAATATAATTTAATTGGCAATTACTTTCAATTAAAATGAGATTGTACTGCACATATATTGTGTGATGCACACAATTTTTTTTATCAAGAGTACTTGTCTATCATGCGTTGTAAGATGCTATTTTTGAACTCAATGTGCAACGCAAATGAAAAGCTAATATATAATTAATTCCATGCGATTAATCTCGCTAATTTAATTAATTCCTCTTCCTTCTTCTCTCCACTTTCACTTAACACGCGTTTAATTTAGATAAAAACTTTCTTGTTTAAGTCCAAAGTTTTTGTGCGTCATTTCTTATTTTTAATTTGTTTCGTGGATTTTATATCTTTTGGGAATGAAAAATGTAAAATTTATTCTGTTTAATTATTACTCTACTTAATTATTATCCTGCTTATTATTAGTTGTGCAATTATCTCGTATATTTATT